AAGTTACAACATTCAAATTTTCTTCTTCTTCTTCTTCTTCTTCTTCTTCTTCTTCTTCTTCTTCTTCTTCTTCTTCTTCTTCTTCTTCTTCTTCTTCTTCTTCTTCTTCTTCTTCTTCTTCTTTTTCTTCTTCTTCTTCTTCTTCTTCTTTTTCTTCTTCTTCTTAGTATTCCTCCTCCTCTTCCTCCTCCTCCTCCACAAAGAGGAGTCTTTAAAAGAAAAATCAGTCAATGGCAGCAAACTTTGCAGAACTGAAGAACATATTCAGACTCTTCAGATAATTTGGCCACTGTTTTCAGACCGGCAACGAAAAAGATTGAAAGGAAATAACGCTTCATTCATGACTTAGTAAAGTATGTTATTTTGCTGAACATTTGCCAAAGGTATCAATTTCACTGTTTTCTTTTTGCTTGTTGCATAGTTAGATTTGTATTGTTGAACTGTATAGAATCTAGCAGAAGAGAAGGGGGAATTCAAATTCAGAGATGCATGGAACATTTTCACCATTCTGTAAATTAGCATCACAATCTGGCACTTGATCAGTGGGATTCTACTGTAAACTCTTTGAAGGGTGGATTTGAGAAGTTTGTAGCCCCAGGAAGTTTGAGGAAGACCGGTTTAAGGATTTTGTTGTTGTTGTTGTTATTAAATGTCCATAGCAATAGTCATTTAAATTGCAGTTGATTTTATAAGCTGTACCATTTATTTTAGAAAGATATGCATAATTTTAAAAAAAATTATATGTTTGGACTTCATTTGTCCATGTTAGTCACATGAAGAAACTTTAATTTCAGCATATCTAGTTTAATATGAACTCTTAAACCTTGTGTGAATTAATGTTATTAAGATAACTTTAAAAACTTCTAAAATGCAGATTATCAGAACTTTTCAGTTCTCTTTCATTGTCTGTTTAATTGTCTATATTTTGTTTTACTTCTCCATTTCTATTTTTAAGATGAAAACTTCATTCAAACATTTGGCACAGTGGCAGTTTACACTCTATTAACCCTCATATGCTGAGAATATTGATATGGTTTGGGGTACCATGTCAGAAAGCATATAGAGAATCATAAACTCCAAACATATTCAGATCAGCTTTTTTCTTAAGTGAAAAATCTATAAAACGCCTATAAGAATGACTCCATTTAATAATACTCCAATTACAGTATTAACATTGGTACTGAAAAATATTTGATGGTTGGATTTTACAATGAATTTGGAAATGGCACATTATCCTATGGTCTGAAATATTCCATTGTCTACTCATTGCTGTGAATTTTTTAAAATGTGAAGATAATTGTGGGAGCTCCATTTGTTGAAACCATCCTGCTTAAACAATAATGGTTTGGATGTAGACTCATTTTGTTATATTTTAATGCTGAGGACAGTATTTTAGTCCGGTCTTGGAGTCATGGGGTTGTATAAGAGTTGCTGCATAGATTAAGTCGGGTGTTTGGAGGATGATAAGGTTCAAAAAGAATGTGTGGGGGCTGCAGGGATGTGTGAAGGGTACCAGCCCAGTCAGGTTGATGTGTGGGGTACAACATGGGTCAGGAAGTGCATTTGAGGAATGTGGGCAGGAGGGAAATGGGTAAGGGAGGGTATGGGGCAGTGAAAAAGAAGTGCACAGATCAGGGAAGGTATGCGTGGAGTGATGTGCATCAGAAAAAGTGCATGAGACCATGCAAGAAGTGCTGTATGAGTCAAGAAAAGCACATAGGCAGGTGCAATTCAGGGAAAGTACATGGGAGACAGCACAGATTGGGGAAACACCTGGGGAGTAGCAAAGGTGTACAGGATTCCTTCCTTCCTTCCTTCCTTCCTTCCTTCCTTCCTTCCTTCCTTCCTTCCTTCCTTCCTTCCTTCCTTCCTTCCTTCCTTCCTAGCAGGCAGGTAAGAGAGTGAGGGATTGGTTTGGAAACTGTCACAAAATGTTGATAATGAAGATCGCATTTTCAACAACAGCCAGTAACACTGAAACAGCCACAACTTGCCCATATTTCATTCACTCAGAAATCATGGATCCTTGATTTTTGACACATTCTGTAAATTAGCCAACCTGAGGTATCATGGATCAAAAACTGTGGCCATTTTGCCCAGTTCAAGGACATGACAGGAAGATTTTTTACTAGTATATAGATTGCTAAAGTCTCTATTTATGCAGATCTTCCATGCAAAACACATTATTTGAAACTTGTACCTTTATTATTAGGTTTCCACATATGGGACTAGCTAGAGAGGCTTGTAATTATTTCATCAGTGAGGAAAGCTGTATCCGGATTTACATGGGTAAACAAACAGATACAGATGGAATAGAGAAGAGAACTTTAGTGCTGGAGCCAGAATAGGAAATGGGACTGACATAAAGAACAATTTATGAGCAAACCTGGATCTGATTAAAATTAATTGGGATACTGAGAATACTGAATGCTCAAATATGAGGGTATTTATATATTCGTGGAAAGGTAGAATAGGAAAGTAATTTAGAGAACATCTAGTTCAACTTTCTGCTAAGGGCTGGATCTAGTGTACTATTTCTGATACATGACTATTCAGCCTGAGATGTCTGTTAAGCTCCATATCTCAGAGGACAAGCAAGAAACTGAAAATTACACTGATTTCAATAAAAAGGTTTTAATGAAGAAATTAGGGATAAGGTCCAGAATTTTGGAAATGCAATAGGAATCTTCTGCCTTCTTTTACTAGTCAGTTCATTAAGGCAGAGTCTCTCTGAATCTCTTCTTCCTAGTTTTTCTGCAGCCCAAATTAACCTGCCATATGAAATACTATGAATTCTGCTCCCTTCTGTTAGTTGACTATATCTAGAATTCCTCTCATTTCTTAGCTCGCTCACAATCACTTCATGGTTCACAGGTTGATAGCTTGTACAGTCTAAAAATTCCTACTGAAATCTAGATTGAATTTACTTCATTGTACTTTTAACACTTTGGTTCTAGATCTGCTCTCTGGGATAATAAAGAATGTCTGCCATTCTTCCATTTGACAGTCCTTCATATAACTTGAAGGTTTCTATAATAACTTCCCTGAGCTGTCTGTCCTACGATTTAAATGTACCTAGATCCCTTAACTGTTCCTTATAGAATTTTGTTTCCAGACTCCTCACCTTCTTGGTAGCCTTCCTCTGAATTTGCTCCAATTGTTGCCATTCTTCTTGAATGAATGGTGTCCTTCAATGTGGTGTCCACATTGGATACAATATTCTATATTAGATCTGGCTAGAGTAGAGTAGAATAGAATAATTATTTCCTGTATTCAGGAAATTGTTAGCAGCAGTTGGCAGTGAATTGCCATTAGCAAACAATGAACAATCTTCCCGTGCCTGACTCTTCCTCTTCTGTCTGCCTCTTCCAGCTGGGTTGCCAAAATCTTCTAAGTTCTTCCTGTTCATTCACTCAGCAAATTACAAAATAAAGCATACATATAAACAGTAATTCTGGATTAATGGTAGGGAACTACAGGGAAATTCATAGAAACTCATGCCTAGTTACAATAATTAAGGGCATCTGACTTGGCTTTATAGAAGCTGTACTACAACAGAAAGTTATAACAAGGAACGGACAAGTAATATTTAATCTGATTTATGTTGTGATGGGAATTTTTTTAAAATGGATTGGGATTCCTGCCAAGATTTTAATGAATTGCATTCTTGAGGTCAGTTAGGTAGAGTTTGCCATGTGTCATCTCTTACACAAATCAGTCAAGATGCACATAAGCATAGCGATATGCTACTTTCTCCTCCAACGTTGACTATATCCTCTTGCGACCTTTAAATTCCCTCTTTCTCTTTCCTGGAACAAAATGAGTAATACCAGACTGACCAATATATAAAACATAATCTCCATGTTTCTATAAGGGCTCAGCTTCTCTGTAACATTTCAAATCAGCTAAAACAGATCAAAGATTAAATTAGCTAAGTACAGTGATTTGAGAAACCACTCTAAGATAGTCCATTGTTTTAAAAGTCTCAACTGGGTTCATATTCTGTTTACCATTATCAAATTCTAGCAGAGCAGACTTGACAATCCTATATGTGGTAGGTTTTGAAGCCAATTGATGTATTTCCTGATCTCTTATAATTCTCAAGAGGCTTTTTACTCTATGACACCACTAATATCTGTCTCTTAAAGTTGGTTGGTTTTACCCACAATTGATAATGGGTAGTGCAAAACAATTATTGAGAGAGCTAAATATTTGTACACTGACGCATAAAAACACATAGACATTATTTTTGTTCATTTGTTCATAGGTGTAGACAAGAGATTAAACTCTTTGAAGAAAGCTCCTAAGAAATGCAGTAAAGCAGACTCTTGGTTCTCCATGTGTGCATCAGCTCAGGCACAGAATATAGAGCTCACGCAAGAGATATAATAGTAACTGGGAAGCTGGTTACTTTATAACTATGAGCAGAATGCTGCATGTTGATTAACTTATTTATATTGTACAGAAACTTTTAACAATCCTTCTGCAGTACTAAAACAGTCTGCATACAACTTTTCTTACCTCTTTAGTTATGAAGGAAAATGTCGACTTAAGACAGTAAGCAAATTAGTACTAATATGCTCCTGGTAGAAAATATTATTGATAGCATATATCTTGCCAAGCTCTCATTTTTCAGTCAGACTTTTACATAATGAATATGCACTAACTAATAGAAATATGTTGCAGTTTGTGCCACAGTTAGCTCAAATAGATGGCACGTTGTGACCCACGGAATTTAGATCTGTACCAGTTATGTTGATCTATTTGCCTGCTTAACTTTAGATTTGTTGCACAGTCAGGCAGATATTCGGGCTGGATTTGGCATTTTTGTCCACCTATCTCTTAAGGACCTGTGATAGGCAGATATGGATGTTTGATGGTGTTACAGATATTGGTTGCAAGATGTAAGCTGTTCAAGTAAAATTGACTTTTGAAATTGACTGATGGTGAATTATTATTACTATTATTATTATTATTATTATTATTATTATTATTTACAGGTACATGACTGATGGTGGATTGGGCCTTTATACTCGAAGATTAAACAGACTTCCTGATGGGATGGCTGCTGTAAGGGAAACTTTACAACGCAACACCTCACTGGGTCTTGGTGATGCAGACAGGTAGGCTGATCTGTCTCACTTAAATTTTTTCAGTTTGAAATATATTTCACTGCAGATAAAAACAGAACTGTGTTATTTGAAAAATAGCTTTGCAAGGCAGAGATATTCAACTTTAAATGTTGCTCCAAAGGTGTTTTTTCAAGAGGCAACTGGTTTTTCTTTGAAGATGTTTCGCTTCTCATCTAAGGAGCTTTCTTGGGTGAGAAGTGAAACATCTTCAAAGAAAAACAAGAAAGTCTAATTTCCTCTTGAAAAAGCACCTTTAGGACAACCATGACCTGGATGACTGAGAATCTCCATAGATATTTAAATGTTGCTGTTGTTTGGCTGAAATATTTTGACAAGAATTCAACTATGATACAGCAAGTATAGCAGGACAGAAATGTATTTGTTCATAATTCATGTTCATAATTCATTACTAATAGAATAAAATTATAAGCAATTAAAAGCATTTTTTTGTTTGAGGGAACTTTGTAGAACTGAGTCTTCTTGTATGCAAAGCATTTATTTACAGCACCTCTTATAATAGATGCTTTGTAGGATACAAAAACGTATTAGGATGTGGTTTCTCTTGCATGTTGTAAAAGCATATTTAATCCACCAGTACAACTATTCTTCTCTGATGGGCATTTTTTCATACTACCACAGACAAGGTGTTGGGTGAAACGCAAACATTAGCTGTTGGTAGAGAGCTTATTCATGGAGGTGATAGGTTTATTGAAAGATTTCTACACAACGTTTGCAGCTGGAATGCAAGCAAACAAGGAGATGTTTTATCTACTTTTTCTTAAGTCAAATAAGAAAGGGGCAGGAGAGAGACAACACAACCTTGAAGGATTGATCCATGATGTTGGTTTAGCATCAGAAGGTGCACGTATACTCAGATAAGAAGGTTTATTATAATTATGACTGAAGTTTTTTGGTTAGGAGAGAAAATCCTATTGCTATTAATTTGTTCCAAGCCAGAAAATCCATGTGCAAACTCTGAACTTTAAAACTCATACTCTTTTGAATGTTGAACTAATGCTTGGTTCCTTGTGGACCGTTAGGCCTTATTCAAATATATTTTCCATGGAACATAGCAGAAACCAGAACAGCATAAGCAGCATCCATATGCTTAAATATACCCAAATCAATTAAGCAATAAATGCATATTACAGATTTGACTTGAATTGCAATAGAGGGCATGCAGATTATCCAGTTTAGCGCTTTCCATCGCCCAAATGTACCCAGCAGAGTCCACTTAAATGATTCTTTCTTCAGTGGGTTGCCTTCTGTGTTGCTGGACATTTAAAATCCCAGGGCTATGGATGAACAGGTTCAGAAAAGCTATTGTAAGATAGCTCATAAGAAGGCCACGGCCTTTTTGTGTATGTCATGTTTTGATAGAAGAGGAGAGATTTTATTAGTCTTTTAATTTCACTATGATATATTAACTCAGAATTCCAATAACCATAATAGAAAAATGTGCAGGTGTTTTTACTTAACTAAATACTTAACTAATCAGCTGAATTTGGCTCTTTTCAAAAAGTTAAGCAGAATCAGGTGTGATTAATACTTGATTGCAAGACAGGCAAAGCTTGTTGGCCAGACTGGGAAGTCCAAAGCCATCTTGGAAGAAAGAAATGGCAAACTACTTCTGAATTGTTGCCAGGAAAACAACATAGACATGTCTGTGAGATCACTGGAGTTCATATTGACTCAAAGGAGACTTTGTTTTAAGTTGGAAGAGGCCATAGGCCAGTGGTGGTGAATCTATGGCACAGGTGCCAGAGGCGGCACTCGGAGCCCTCTCTGTGGGCACACGTGCCATTGCCCCAGTCTTGCCTCCCCCTGCGACCCCCTCCTCTCCAGCAGACCTCCTGAAGAAGAGTCTCCCTTGAGCATGGCCCATATGGAGCAGTGCAGCCAAGGACATGGCAGCCAGGCAGCGTAGACAAGATTCTGCCCTCATACCCCATCATGCAGTTGATGCTGCAGGATGCAGGCAGAGGGTGTGGCCGCCATAGCGCTGCTGGGCTACCTGGGCGATCTGCGGTGGGTCCAGGAGGCAGTGAGTCGTCCTGTGGGCAGGCGAGATGGGGGATGGGGGGCAGAGCAGGGGTGGAGCAGGGAGGTGGAGCGGGGGCCGGGCCAGTTTTTGGTCATTCGGTCTCTAAAAGGTTCACCATCACTGCCATAGGCATTATGAATATGACAATACATACACAGAGTGTGAAAACATACCTCCTTAATTCTAGAGCATTGCATAGGGCTTCCAGTATGAAACTCCAGTCTCAAACCATTTCAAGAAATAAACTGCTTTCTATTCTAGGTTTTGGACCTCTGGGCAGCCTCTGAAACGCCAATAACTCTGAAGATTTTAATAGAGGCTAAATCAACTATCCAGTGTTATCACTTTTTTTTAAAAAAAAATGAGAAAATATTTTTGGTTGATTAACAAGGAATTTGGAACAGAGGAATTTAGATATCACATATTACTAAATAAGTGGCGTTAGATATTGCTAGATACTAAGTATCTTTCTTATAATTTAAAAACTAGATTAATTAGAAAAAAGATATTTTGGAGTTTATTGGGTTTGTCTATTAAAAATAGTTTGAGGTATCCACATGGACATTTTGCCATTTTGACTATATTTTTAAACCTCTATAACAGCAGGCCATATATTTTTATCAGGGCTGGCATAATGTAGCAGAATTCTGGGCATCTGTAAAGTCACCCATCAATTAATGGACCTCACTCTCTTACTTATTGTCCTTCTGCCATCAAATAAGAATTGAGGAAACGGAAAACTGGATGAATAGCTTGTGTTATTCAGGTGAATTCGGTGTAGAATGCATTGAACAGGTGAAGAAGCACATAATAAGTATGGATAAAGTAAAAGAATAATCAGAAAGAGGAAACATTATCCCCCAAGGGAAAAAAATGCATGCACCTCCAAATCAACTTTGTAAAATTTCACCTCCAACCCTTCAAACTACCAATAACTCACTTTCATTTTCCACCTAATGAAGTCAAGACAAAGTATGTGAGAAATTTTTGCTCACTCCTAAGTAAAACATTAAAGGAAAGAAGATGTTTCAAATACAATTTATGGCAAAATGTTCTTGAGAAAAAAATAGATATTTTTATCTTCCCTAGGGACATATTTAATATATTTGGAAAACCTAAGGCCTACCCGTAAGTGGGCAATATTGATATCTCAGCTCCCTCCTCAGCATTTTGTGTGGGTGAGTGTTTTAGTGTCTTGGGTTGGGAGGTGGGATGTTTTTCATGTTTTAACAACACCTGACTATATTTCTGAGCTTTCTGTAGAGTTTTGATTTCCCACCATAAGAAAGTAGGAAGCAATTGTGGTCAGTGCTTTCTAAATAAACAGATCTCCTCAAGGTTCCCTCCTTGAACAAGACATTTTGGCATAGGCCTCCTCCAATGCTTTTTGGGGTAATGGGAGTCATAGTGCAAAGGGCTAAATGGCACCAGGTTGCCCCATCTTTTTCTAAAAATTGTACAGAGGCCACTTTTAAATCTTTATAAAGCTGCATGTTGCAAGATAGAGACAATCCAAGACTGAACTTGCATTGCACCATAAGAAATAAAAGAGTATATCTTTGGCTAATATTTTTGCAATGAAATTTCTGTAATGTTTCCAACTGCCTAGCTTGCGTGTCCAAGCTAAAATCTAGCTTGTAAATTGTAGACAGAATGAAGATTTCTCGCTATTAATTGTATTAGCCTTCAACATAGCCTCTACACAAGATGCATTTCTCTCTATAGCAGATCAGGAACTCTGAAAGTAGAAAATCAATTCAATGCCTGATTGTTAGGTTAATGGGGATCATCACAAAAACAGCTGAGCTCCATAGCTCATTTGTTTTTTTAGTGTGTGCAAGCATATATGCCATTCACAGTAATTAGCATCTGAACTCCCTTTTAAATTTAGCTTTATTGTTCATAGTTTAGAGGATGCCAAGTAACCAAAAATAGCTTGATCTTTTTATTCTGGGAGGTTTGTAACTCTCCATGAGGGGGAAAAAAATGATTATCTAAATGAGACAGGGCATGGCCTACAAAAAGGTCCCCCATTAGAAAAGCCCCAAGAAAAACCACTTGGCAACAAATGATTAGCATTTATAAGAGAGTAGGGTGAGGTGAGGCAGACAGAGCATCCACAAACAAGATATAGACAAAGAAATGGAATATATCACATGTGGACTAGTTGACTAGATTACCACTCCGACACTGTTAATTTGTACAGTAGAATTTTTCCATTTGGTAAAATCCAAGGTATAAAGACCTTAGAAAACATAGTGATTACAGGACTGTTTTAAGACAAAAGATGTTTATTATCCTACAGTAACTTACAGTTAAAATTTGATCAGTTTGGTCTAATGGTTAAGGCACCAGGATAGAAAGCAAAAAACCGTGAATTCAAGTTCTGCCTTACCCGTGAAAGCCAGTTGGGTGATTCTGGGTCAGTCACTCTGTCTCATCCCAGCCCACCTCACAGGATTGTTGTTGTTATGGGGAAAATAGGAAAAATAAATATTAGATATGTTCCCCACTTTGACTTACTTATGAAAAAAAATATAAATACTTCTAATACATTTTACGAAAGCAATCACTTTATGGAATTAATAAAGACTAGAAAATATCTTTATGTAAGCAAATATGTCTTCTACATAAACATCTGGTTTATAAGTAACAATTAGCAGGTTATGTGATGTTTGAGTTCAGTTCGGAAGAGGTGTCTTGGGACATGCTGTGAATACAGCACCTGCCTACAACTTATTAAAGATGCCACATCTGTTTCCAGGATTAAATTGCTGGGTTTGTGCTTCTCCATGTTCCAAAATAATTCTTCTAAACCAAATCCAAAATATTGCATAGTCCTTGTTTCAGTTCTTACTACATGATCCTTAATGTTGAAAGAGAATAAGAGATGTAAAAACTTGGGTTAGAAAAGATTTTGGACCATTCCTTGATACTAGTTTAGAAT